TTTTTTTTTTTTTTAAAAAAAAAATTGTAGCTACAGCTGATACAGCCCAGAATATAGATGTGTCCTTGAATATGTCAAACCTTGAAAATGGTAGTTAGATGAGTAAAAATGCTACCCATTATACATTGGTGGTGGTTGAGTGTGTCGTACAAGTTAGCTGGATACCTTAATTACAATATTAATTACCTTTTCACTTGACTGAATATTGGTACAACGTAAGTTCATAAGCGTAAACTCAAGACTGAATTATTGGATGTCAAGTCTTGAAATTGGTGTTGGTTGCGTGTGTCGTACAAGTTAGATGGAGACCTTAATTACAACATTAATTACCTTGCCACTTGACTAAGTATTTGTACAAGTAAAAATGCTACCCATTATACACTGGTGTTGGTTGCGTGTGTCGTACAAGTTAGCTGGAGACCTTAATTACCATAGTAATTACCGCTGCATTAATTACCCATTATACACTGGTCTTTCCTAGCTAGCTACTTCCTACTCTGTTATAGTATAGTACCGCTGCATTAATTCACCCAACATTGACTTATCCAATATAGATCCCTATATTTTTTATTTCCTAGACATATGCCCATCACTCTATAAATCTATGTGTAAAACCCAATTTCAAATGAATCTATTTTTTAAAACCATTTTTTTCTCTAAAACCATTTTCAAATTAATCTATACCCATCAGACCTTATGAAAAACCATTTTTTTTAAATGAATCTATTTTTTCTCTAAATAATGTACCTATTTTTTTCCTCTAATAATGTACCTATTTTTTCTCTCCAAATAATGTACCTATACACATTTATAGGTATATTGTAAAATAATTTACCTATGGGTAAATAATGTACCTATATTTTCTATAAATTATTGTGTACCTATTTTTAATTTATGAAAAATATACGGAAATTTCAATTACAAAGTACCTGACTTAGTTTTTTTAAATTTTTTTGGTAAATAATATATTTTTATTTTTAGACGTATATATTTATATTTATATTTTTCACAGGTACATTATTGGATATGTAATTTATATTTATTTTTTTTGGTTTGCAATTTTCGGGGGCGATATGTGAGAGGGAATGACAACCAAAAGAAATGGAGTGATTGATATGCTATTAATAAGGGGTATTAATTACAATTATGGCAGTTAATGAAATACTTGAAATAAATTATATATAAATATGAAGTCTAGTGGCAATGATGTAAAAACATAGAAATACTACGACCTCTGATATCCTACTGATCATTTAAATTTGAAATTGGATTTTACACATAGATTTATAGAGTGATGGGTATATGTCTAGGAAATAGAAAATGTAGGGATCTATATTGGACAAGCCCTAAAAACTATATGAAACTTGGTTCCTTCCAATTCTAAACTGGTAGGTTGTAATAGTTTTAGAGAAGCCGAGCAGGTGAGGTCAGTTCTTCCCTCTCTCTGACACTGGTGAAACAATTTGATCATGACGGATTCCGCGAAAGGCGAATTCCAGGAGTTCAATAAAGTGGTGAGCCTAATTATTTATTACCAGACAATTGCAAGGTGCTTATCTTTTAACTTGTTTTCCCCATTCTTTTAATCATTGTGCATGCAGAAAGTATGGGTTGAGAAGAACTCTAGATGCATGACGTTGTACGCAAGATGGTTAGATGTCACTTATGGTTTCCCTCCATACTGGGTTTGGAATTGTTACAAAGAAATAAGGTACGTATCATATTATCCATCCATGTCTTATTCGGGGCACAATTTGAATGATATATTTCTATCATCATAGATTTTTGTTATTAATTAAGCACGGTAAAATGGTGATTAACTATTCGTTTGATTCGCAGTGAAGACAACGTTGAGGTAGTCAAGCTAATGTCTGTATGCTGGGTGAATGTGAGAGGACAATTCAAGATGTCAGAGCTCTCAGCAGGAGTTGTGTATGAGATTGCATACAAAGTCAAACTAACAAATGGAGCATTTGGATGGGAACTCCCTGTAACTGTTAAGATCAGATTCCCAGACGGACGGGAGCAAAAGCGGCAATATAGTCTGTTTCAGAAGCCGAGAGGGGAGTGGATAGAGCTTAGTGGTGGTAGTTTTGAGGTTAAGGGAGAAGAAAATGGAGAAGTCTGGTTTGATCTTTGTCAACATGGGGGACACTGGAAGAAAGGGCTTATCATCCAAGGTATCATCATCAAGCCGGCTGAAAAGATTGACTAGACGGCCATTATTTGGTTATCAGAAATAAAAGATACAAGTGTAGGATTTTTTGTTGCTGATCAACGCTAGCTGAAGTCTTTCTCCAATGGTTCTGGCAGGGATTTGTTGTACATGTAATACTATATCTTTCTTTTTCTTTATTCTTTTGGGTTATATGCATCCTAACTTTTTAACCATATGACCGAATAGGATTTACAATCTTGGTAAGATGCTTAGTGGCCTAAACAGAACTTGGATTTGATTATGTCTAAACCTACAAGCCTAAATGTAGTAGGATTATGAATTTCCCAAACAGCTGGAACTAAGATGAATAAGATTATGTCTAATCGTAATGCTACGGTGACCAACTTACTTAACAATTTATGTGGTACATGAGATGGCAACTTATGTCATTTGTCACATAATTACTTAATCAAAGAATTAAAATTAAACTAAATAGCAATAAGTCAACGCCTCTATCTTCCCTAGATCTGCCATGGCCTCCCTTGGTTTCCCTCCCCACACCCTATATCGTCCTCCTTCATCACCAACACTTATCTTTTCCTCCTCATAACCCATACCCCCTAAATACTTATTTTTTCATCAGTCTCCATGCTCTATTGGGTTCATGATTTATCATGTTGTGTTGATACAACAGAAGCAGATTAATTTCACTGAAGGTGTAAAACAACAAGTTTGAGTTCTTCAAAGTAATTTGGATGCCCTCTTCCCCTTGATCTGTACCCCTCTCATCTCTCTTCTTTTTTCTTTTTTTTTCTTTTTTTTTTAAGGCCTGCAAGAGTTTTTTTTTTGTTGGATGACTTTAGATATAGTTGTTTATGTGTATTTTGAATATAACGAACATAAACAATAAATCAATTTGTCCCCAAAACATTATTCCATAATAAACGAAAATCCAGAAACACAATTATACTGTAGAGGGGTAAGTAACTAACCCTTCAGATAACAACCCACAATCTTTTCAAGATTTCTCCAATCATATGATGCCAATGTCAATATCTGCAGTAACATAAAACACATGGCAATGATCAAAATGCAGTTGCCTTAGCCATGTAGCCGTGCAAAGTATTTAATGATGTGTAATTAAAAAAAACCAGTACCATCTGAATTCCCCGGCCCCAGGGAATTAAAATTATTCACATTTTTACGCAGCCAAATATCATGAATATGCAATAATATGCAATACCAAATTGATGTTTTAGCGATGGATGGACCATCAAAGGATGTATAACTGCCAGTAGGCAGTAACACTACCCACCAACCACACAACTGAGAAAACAGTAACTAGTATTACTTACTAACAGAGGCATGGAAACCAATAATTTGCTTCTCCCAGTTCTGGTTTCACACCACCTGATTATCAATTCTAAGGATATAGTCCTGGTTAAGTAACTAACTGGGGTATTAACATATTGCTTTCTCTAAAACTTTCAATGACATGCAAGAGCAAGATTCTATACAAATAGACAAATAGAGTAGCATGAAGCGGGGACTACACCTGACAGTTCATCCGGAGAGCTCTCTTCAGACTCAGGAAACTGAGTCATGCAGATCCTGCCAGTCCCAGATACTCAGCCTTTTGTTTTATCAATCACTTTCATTGTCAGTATGTTCACTTCTAGATGTTGCATAAGTTTTATTACCTCTTATCAAGTTTGCCAACTCTTGTATTGAGCAAGAAGTGCTTTGTTCCATCTTACTTGCAAGTATCTCAACGTACTCAAGGAGCCCTAAACCCCTAAGCCGGTTCCTCAACATCTCAACAGTAGAAGAATATGGGGGTATGCCTTCATCGATCATTATCTCAAAGTATTTACAAGCCTCCTCTAGCTTATGTTTCTTCTTGCACAAACCGTGGATCATTACAGAATATGTTGAAACAGAAGGATAAAATCCTCTCTTCTCCATACTCTCCCAAACTTCCGTCACCCGATCAAATCTTCCTATCCTAATCAGCAACTTCAGCACCATATTATAAGTATGTCGATCCGGCTTGCAGTTATCCTTTTCCATTCTATATAACAACCTAAGAGCCCTGTTAACCTCGCAATGGTCACAATGATAAGCTTGGATTGCATTATAACTCCATGCATCCGGCATAACTCCCCTCTCAATCATTTCATCCAAAAGTTGGTAAGCCTCTTCCACCTTGTCATTCTTACACAGTTTCTTGATAATACAATTGTAAGAATACACATTAGGCAAAAGATTATATCTCCTCATCCTATCAAGCACCCTAAAAACCGAATGAATGTCATCGGCTTCACAATATGCACGAATGAAAATCGAATAAGTACAAGCATCCGGGTCAGTTCCATTTGACCCCATCTCCCGGAATATCTTATATGCCTCATCAACTTTCCCACCTTTACACAAAGCCTCCAAATAACTATTATACGCAGGCACATCTAACAAACATCCTCGTTCAGTCATTTCATCAAACAACTTACGCGCTTCATCCGAATCACCAATGTCGCCCCAACCCCTCATCAAAATACTATAAGTTTTAGCGTTCAATTCAAACCCACTCTTAACTTTATCAAAAAACTCATGGGCATACTTGACATGTTTTCTTTTACATAACGTATACATAAGCTGATCAAGATCATGAACACCAGGCTTAATTCCAAACTCAACCATTCTATTAAAAGCTCGAATAGCGTCACGAGGCAAATTAGCTCTACTGTAAACTCTAAAAATAAGCCAGAAAACTTCTGGGACAATCTCAAAACACTTGGACTCTCTCACTTCTATAAGAAAATCCCACAACACAGCATATTGCTTGCTACTTCCCAAAATCTCAATCAAAATGTGATAGCTTTCAAAACTGTGCTGAAACTCCGGAATTGTTTTAGCCCAAAGAAAGAACCTGTGGGCAGAGAGGCCAAGATTTTTGCACCGTTTTAGAACTTGTTCAACCAAGTTTGTGGATATTTGGGTAGACAAAGGATTGAGGGAATGCTCCAAGTCGTGGTGAGGGTTTCTGTGGTCGCTGAGAATGCGTGAGATCTCATTCACCAGGTGTGGTGATGGTGGAGGTGGAGGTGGTGGGTTTTGGTAAGTGAGAGAAGAGAAGGGATTGTAATGAGTGTTGGGTTTGGAGGGTGAGAGAAGAGAGTGGAAGATAGAGTGAAGGGTTTTGGGTTTAGAGGTGAGAGATCTTAGGGACATTTTAGAGAGTTAGTAAATGGATTTGGTTTTTGAGAAACAAGGCGGGGCCAAAATACTGGAAATGATATGCAGTTATAGGAGAAATGCCGAGGCCTACTCGCACATATGCGATTTAATTCGACTTCAGTTGATAAACTAATGCAACTACAAGGGTCTTTCTTTAATTTTTTATTAATAGATAGTAGAGCCGCCGCCGGCTATACTCCTTTTAAATATAATATACATAAAGCGTATAGCCGCGCGGCTATACTACAGTTTTTTATTATAAAAAATAATCTAGCCAGGCGGCTATACTGTTTTTGACACGTGGGGCTAACCGCTAGCGGGTCCATTTTTTATAAATCGTATAGCCGCACGGCTATACTTAGGTATTTTTTAGACGAGTGTAGCCGATCGGCTTTACGGGCTATACTTGGGATTTGTTTTTTAAAGACAAGAATATAGCCGCACGGCTTTACCGGGTGTACTCTTTACATAGATATTGTGATATTTTTTTTAATTGTTTTTCCCCCATTCTTGTTTATCAATAAGAGTAGTTTATATCATTATTCATTACTATTGGGCCATTACCCGAGTCTCTATTATTCCCTTTTGAGTTTTTACATTTCCAGAATTATTACCCGTATAAATAATTTAGCATTTTTACATTTAATACTCGTATTGTACATGTATGTATGTATTTTTTATGTACAATACACTCTTTTTTTTTACCAAATTTTCAATAATACAAACAAAATTCACGTATTATACACAAAAGTTTCACATATTATTGATTGAAAATTAATATCTATAAAGTAAAAACTAATGTAACTAGAAGGATCCGTTTCTTTAATTTTTTATTAATAAATAGTAGAGCCGTGCGGCTATACGCCTTTTAAATATAATATACTTAAAGAGTATCTCCGGTCGGCTATACTACAGTTTTTTTATATAAAAAATAGTATAGCCGGGCGGCTCTATTGTTTTTGACACGTGGGAGGCGAATCGCTAGGCGGGTCCCTTTTTTTATAAATAGTATAGCCACCCGTCGATACTTGAGTTTATTTTATTTTATTTTATTTTTAAACAAGAGTATAGCCGTACAGCTGTACTGGCGTTGTTTTTTTAAAAAAAAATTTAACATAAAAGAATGCATATATTTTGTGAAATATTGATGGAAGTTACAAAAGAATAAAAATATCATGATTATCATGGAAG